TGATTGCTTGGCAGATGCCATTATCCTGGGCTTATATCTTCACAATCACATTAGCCATTTTCACAGCAGGGTACTTACTGAAGCGAGGCAGGTTAAGCACCTCACTCGGGGGACAAAATGGAGGAGGCACACCTGGAGCTCAGGCCAGGACTCTCCTCAGCACCACACCATTACCAAAAACACTGTGGGCCTTTCATCCATTTAACTAATTTTGCCATGTCTCCCTCTCCATCTTCCCACTCTACACTCTTTAGCTTCTCAGTTTATACTTTAGTCTTCTTTAACCTTTTCTACCTCTTCCTTGATTCCTGCACGGTACTTTCTTCCTTACCCCTACCCTCGATGTCCCCATGCCCCAGGCTTTCTTTATTTTTATCTTTCTTTCTCTCACACTCTTTTTTTTTTGGCCCTCACTCTTTTTTTGTATGGGCATACTGGAATTAAGGGACTGCAAAATGCAGATTCACACCGAATGAAAGAATAAGGAAATGAGGATGAGGGAGGATGGCGAGGTGACTGTGTCAGCACAGTTTGATGACACAATGCTAAGCACGAGTGGCAGGCCAGAGATACATTTTTACACAAACGCTTACCTTCACACAGAGGTGTTTATTTGTCTGCGTTTCAGAAGGCTTCTGTTCATGTTGTTATTTTTGTCATAGTTACTTTATATTCAAAGTTTGACATTTCACTAGATTAACTGATTAATCAAATAAATTGTTGTTTACTGACACCGCCACTGGACATTTAACTCAATCAAGACAACCTCATTTTATTCCATTAACATTAAAGATGAGATTACTCCAAAATGAGACGTAGGGAGAAGAGGAACAGATGGGTGTAGGAAATTAGAGATAGAAGCCAGAAGGAAGAGTAAAGAAATCCCACTGAGGAAGAAACACATTGCACATTTTCAACTAGAATATTGTTTACACCAGGAATGAAGTTGGTAGGAAATCAATATCAAGTCAACAAGAAACTGTTTAGGCTGATTGATGATTACAAATTGCTAAATAATCAACACATAGCTGCTTTTTATGACTTAATAACAAACAGAGTCAGAATCAAGGTAACCATAGTCTGTACTGATGCCTATAGCAAAATACAAACTGTGCAGCTGCAGAGGCTGCAGGAGACAATATGCATTCATTAACAGTGTATCACATGGCACAAAGTCGAAAGAAGAAATGTGTTCAATAACTTATGACACTGGGAAGCTTCACTAACATGTTCAAAATACACACTCGTACACACAAAGTGCATCATAAATATGCATTTCTACTGGTTGAGATGGGTCCAGGAAACATATTAAATGTCACTCTCTATATTTCCATCACATTCTCATTGGCGCATTGTGGTTGGTGCACGCAACAGGAGGCAGGAGCCAAACAGGAGATCATCAGTTTATGAAGAAATAGAGGAATATGCCCCTTCTATGCAATACTTTCCTCCTGAGTGTGAGGCGACAAAAGGATGACAAATGTTAGAGTGGATGGAGGCGAGTGATCCAGTGGAGCTGCACAGATAGGTGGTGGGACAGAGAGAGGGAGAGTTGGGAGAAAAAAGTGATGGTACTTGCTCTTTCATCCTCCCCTTTACTCCAGTCGCCACGGCAACATGCCTGGAGGGCACTCAAGAGAGGCGTCATCACTGACAAAAACAACAGAGAGGCAGAGAATGAGTGAGCGCAAACGAAAGCAAACTAGACAGATAGTGTGTATGAATGAAAACTGAGAGAGGAAGCAGGCAGCAGATCTACAGCTGACTCCGGGCTACTTCTCCTCACTCTAAGAAGTGTGAATTTGACCTTCAGGGATTTGGCTAAGAAATGTAATGAACGTTCATTCATCATTCGAGGTCATTCAGATTAATGTTTCGATCGCCTCAGCTAAAGTTTCACCAACAGCGTCTACGAGCACGTTTATGGGTGTGAATATCACTGATATCCCCTCCAAAAAAAGGACACTATTATGAGATATGAAATTGGCAGAGTTAATCAAACCGAGGCTAATGCTTAATATTTGGAATTAACTGAGCCATTAATACTGCGAGCTGCCGTTAGGCTAGATAGAGTGGTTAAACCACCACTGGCGAAATTAAACAGGTTAATTAAAGTCTCCAAATTTTCATGCACTTCCCCTCTGTCTGTTTTTCACTGTTAAACACACACACACACACACACACACACACAAACATACACTTACTCACACACGTGTTATTACTATACGTTTGATGGCGTTCCACTGGCTGTATTTATTTTCTAATATTAACCTGAATCCTAATTGTAACCTTAACCCTTATCCCCTGTTGATTAGTGAATCCAAAATATCTCAAATATTCTTCACTCCAAAGACTTAAAGAAATAAACTCTTTCTAAAAAAAAGCCAGCACACAAAAGATATACTTTTGTACAGTACATTTCTAATATCTGGCATCCAGACTAAGCCTCAGACCAGTCTGAGCATCACACTTATAGATAGGCATAGGTGGCGCCAGGTGTGGGTTTACAGGACTTAAACCGTGAACGTTTTTAGCAAAGCCACAAATCTTTTCACTGATCATCACACATGGCTTTTTTTTTTTTTTACCAAGGAACCAATGTGCATTTTGTGTGCGTGTGCATTGTGTCTACTTAAACATGCAATTTTTTTTTACCCCGCTATGATTGGACCATGACCTTGCCGTCTTTCCCAATCTCAAGTTGGGCCGGTGATTCAGTCTGATCCCAGTATTCACTCTCCACCACCATCATGCTGTTTTTTCTTTTAATTTAACATCCATTTGTATATCAAACAGCTTCCATTTTTCCTCGCTGGTTGACAGAAATTTCAGCAGTGCTCATAATTAACCATGATAATGATTCAATGTGTCATAATGACTCAGTTCACAGCTGGTGAGGAAGTGTGTTCCCAGCTTAATCTCAAAGTAAAACTGAACCTAGCCGATACCCTACTTACGAAACTGACAAAAACAGTAGAACTTTCTGAACTTGAGCTGTAGGCTATCTCTTTTATGGTTCATTAAAGTTAATGCCCAAGGACTAAACCTATGTTCATAAATTTAACCTTCTCTTCAAACAAACCTTTAGTGTAATCCATATCCCAACCTCAGCCTACTTTTTTCCCAATCATCTTAATCTTAAACCTAAAATATCACTGATCCTCCAAGAATTATGTACAATCAAAAAAGTAGGCTATCACAATTTTATTCTAAGGTGTTAATTACAGTTTTTTTCAATTGCTAACCTGCGTTGGTCAAAACTGAAGTCACATTGTCAAAACTCTTCACACAGTCAGCGCAACAGAAGTGTATGTGGACCAAACTGTGAATCATTTTTCATTGCTTTCACACAAAATGCGTTCAATGACCCCTTTCTCCAAAATTCATGAACTCTTTTCTCATTACTACTTCACCACCTGCAAACACTATATATCTGCAGCACATTTTTCAAATGCTAATACACTGTATCCAAAACTGTTAAAAACACATTCAAAACAAAATGTTTGAAAAATTTCCTGCATTTTTGCTGTAGCTGGACAGATATATATATAGAAAATCTTTGCAGAACATTTACATCCATTTTATGTTTTAGGGAAATATGTGGTTTTACTGTAAAACTGCAAGCTGAGTGTAATGCAAGAAATGTGCTTGTATTTTAGCAGAATTGGCCAAGGTGATGGTGCTTCTATTACAGACTGTGGTCATTGGTCATCACAACTGAAAAAAAGTGTATTGCAACACTGAAATGTCAGGAACTTATTTTTTTCACAAGTAAATTACTGAATGTAGTTCTGATTCATTCTTGTAACATATACTATAGTACAGTCAATAAAGTGAAAATATGTTACAGGTTTCTTCCATTTTTTCTCAGTCGCTTTGGTACATTTGCAAAACTATTTGTATTGTTAAACTATGGCTAAACTTTTGATGAATGATTGAAAATGCACAAGGCTGTACTTTTTCTGTATGGCATAGATACATTTCAACAGTACAGAGTTACAGTAAAACATTGCAAGAGATTGTATAGGATTCACAGTTACACTTTTACTGTATGCACTGTAATTTGTTGACAGCATGTCATTGTGATGCAGAAAATAAAAAAAACAAGACTATTTTACAGCACTGCATAGCACAACGGAAACAATTACAAAATAAGAAATGGAAACATGAAAACACCCCCTCCGGTTGATGTTCCTGTCTATTGGGCCACAGATTCTTATTCACAGCCCAACAGATCAGAACTTCATCAATTTACTGTAGGACACATTTTCAAAACAAGCCTAATAGACATATGTAGGAAAATGCAGATTATGACGTATTCAACCATTTTGCATGTAGTGACTTACACAATGACATACAGTAAGCAATTGATAATGTAGGAAACAGCAGACAAATGTACATAATAATTTGCATAAATTTTCTGAAAAGACTGAGAAATTGCTTTTATATATGATGTTTACAAGCGACTAGATAATGTGGAGGTTTAAAAAGTAGAATTTCAATTCTGATCGGAGAAATGTATCAAAGTGACTGAAAACAACTGTATTCTATAATGAAATACTGATTTGTATTAAAATATCAGTGAAATTTCAAGGATAAAAGTTCAACAAATTTACATAATGCTTTCTGTTGTTAGTGTTTTCTAGGTCAGTGTGTTATGAGTGACAATTGATGCTTTCTGAGTGAGAATTGTTGCCAGTATTTTGGTTGAACGAGTTTAGTGTTTTGGGGGTTTGAGTGACTTTTGGTGGTGAGATTAACTGTTTGGCCAAGATGCGTGTTACTAATGCAGACTGTGTGAAGAGTTTTGAAAAAGTGGCTTCAGTTTTGACCATTGCATCTTAGCAATTGAAAAAAACTGTAATAGGATAGCATTTTCTCCAGTTACTGAAACACACACACACACACACACACACAAACATGGTGCACGTTTAGAGGGGGCGGGGCGGCATAATAGATGGACATGTGAGCGCAGCTCCTCCATCAGAGGGCGGGCTTGTAGCGTTGTGTACGCAGCGCTTGGCTGCTGCTGCTGAAGATGATGAGAGGAGCGGCAGGTAGGCTACACAAACCTTTCAACGGAGCTCCAGCGGCTTTAAAGCTGTCTAAAGAATAATAAACACCGACTTCAGCTGTCAGTTGTGAATGTGGTAACCTTTATTGCCTTATTACTACCTGTATTGTTCCTCTCTAATGAAAGCAGAATTGTCAAACAGAGTGACTTGAAAGTGCGGGTACAAGAAAGAAGTCCTTAATAGAATTGGCACAAGTGAGTACATATCCAAATGGGTCTCGTCGCAATGGGATTTGAGTTGAAGAACACGTAACCACTCAGAAGTCACCCTGATTCAACCCGTTGTTAAGGTAACTGGGAACTTGAAAAAGCGTTTCTGATCGCTGGGATGTTGTGAGCCGCACGGCGCCTGGGACAGAAGGAGCGGGGACGTAGAAGGAAGAGAGGAGAACCAGGGCTGGACAAGCACCGGAGGGATTATGGCTCTCGCAACGTTTTCTCTCAGCCTCATCACGCTGGCGCTTACAAACTTGCACCTGTCGAGAGCCAGCGACCGGCACGCGGTGTACTGGAACAGCTCAAACCTACTGTAAGTGGCTTTCTGCAGCTGTAACGCAGCCCTGTCCCTGTTACCACCAAATTAACTTGTGTTCCTCTTTGTTGATGCGCACCTGTGCTGATGAGAACTTGTTTACAAGACAGTGGTCGTCCTCTGCAGCGACGCGTTTCTTTTATTTACAGCATTAAGCCCTTGAAACACCCCTGAAATACATTAAATAGCCTACCACCAATAAGCCAATTATTATCCCAGACATCATCAGACTATCAACCTGAGTGTCTGTTATAGTCAACAACTGTCTTATTAAATAGTAAAATACTAATACTAAATAGATGCTTATTTTCATCTCTGAAACAATTTTCAGCGCCACATTTCTCTCCCCCTATCATCATTTAATCAGATTACAGTAATGCATCTCCACAGGGAAACTGTTTCTTCATTGTTCATTCTTTCCGCCCTGCATGCAGAGTGGTTACTATATAAATATTTGATTTCTACCTCACATTTAGTCCATCTACCGCTTTACAATGACGACTCATTTAAGTATTCATCTTTTCATTTACCCTGCTTTTAGTTTTGTGTTGTCCATCATTCCGCCTTCCCCCGTGCAGCACAAATACAGCATCCACATGCACTGCTCAAACTTCCTTAAATCTGCTGGACTATATACGCTCACGATGAATTCTTTAACACACATTCATGTATTCACACACAACAGCGCCTATTCCTCCTACAACAGTGAGGTTGCTTACCCTCAGGTAAGCTTCCCGGGCCTCTCCTGTCTCTCTCTACCTGTGAGCTATAAAGCCAGCTTGCTGTGGGGCAGAGATCGATGTGGATTCTACTGCCTTTGTCTTCTCATTAGCCAACAGTGAATCCATCTTTCTCACATTCTTTTATCTCCTGTCCTCACACAACCTCCCTCTTTGCCTCCCCCCACTCCTCCTCCTCCTCTATCTGTGTTCCTCTGTCCATTTGTATTCACCTCAGACATGGGTCTCTCCTATCGCTTCTCTCTATCTCATACTTTGGTTATTTTCTTCCCCTTCTTATTTTTCTGCTGTGTCTCACCAGCCAGCTTGTCCCCCTCAATTCCCTTTTTTCTACATCTCATTACCACCCCCCCATCTGCTCCTGGTCCCTCATTCACCTCCCAGGCTCTCAGCCGAGAGTACACGTACGGTAGATGATTAGAATTAGAAATTGTGTGAAAGTTATTTGATTGTATGTGGATGTAGGATAATTCAAATATTTGAAGGTTTCCTCCAGTCCGCCAGTGGGAAACTGCTCTAAAATCTGATGGAAACAGTCAAGGTGGTGCTGCAGCACATCCTCATTAATGTTAATATATGAATGGCACAGTCACATTCAAAACTATTTTAGATTTATGAGTGCAGTTAATCCTGTCAGTGTGACATGAATAGAGAAGGGGTATATTAAGTGAGACTTACTTGCATTTAAGCTCTGTAAAGGTGTCTGGTTTTTAAGTGTCATAATCAGTATTAGTCCTATTTATCAATTTTAATTAGTCTTTTGGCATGTGCTCCGTCTAAAATGATTTTCACAGCATGGGTAAGGTTGCTCAATGTAGTCATTCATTGCAGTGTTAGCATATTTTGTGGCTTTAAATTGGCATTTATGTGTGAAAATTACAAATATGTGCTCATATTAATGAATTCAGAATACTGTGTGTGTGTGTGTGTGTGTGACAGAGAGAGAGAGAGAGAGAGAGAGAGGGAGGGAAACAGAGACAAAGTGCAGGTGCGGTTCTATATGCCTGCGTGTGCAAAACCTCTTTCTCCACAGTGAGATACAAATCTCTAAAATAATGCCAAAATTGACCCATTTTTGCAGGTAGCAGACAAATCCTCAGAGGCTATGGCAAGAATACTGAAGGCCATCAGGCTTTAAAAGGCCTTAGGCTCGCGGCCACTTCTCCACACTATGTCTACATGCATACAGAACCTGCTGAAGGCCTCACTTGGTCAACGATGCAGCTCATTCCCTCATCCAATTCTGGTTATGGAGACCAGCTCAGGAGGGAGCAGTAAGAAATGAAGGCAGCGACAGACAGCCAGAAACCAGAGGCCTGTAGGGGTAAGCTCTGTTTGAGGCCTTAATGTTTTACCCTTGAGCGCAGCATTTAGCGCAGATGGTTACGGCACAGCTGCAAGAAATGGGATCACTTGGAAGCCAAGCTGTTTGTGCCAAAGCCATGAAAATGGCTTTTTATGATAACGCTCAGCTAGAAATGGCTTGCTCTGGTGTATTGAAAGTCAAAAGGGGACTGTCACACAGTTGATAGCCAGTAATACTGTGCTGTTGATTCTTTGCCGCCGTTCTGAGGTAAACAACATTAGACAATTTATCATAGCTTTTCCCTCTGCCACGGACAATTTGAAACGAGATGTCTCGATTATCATAACGCAAAGAAATAGCTCAGAGTGCTTTGATTACCACCCAAGTCCGTCACGATCGCACTACCCCCCATTAGAAAGTGTTGCTCTCAGCTTCCGCTCTCAGCAGTGCGCCTGGCCAACTCGTTACAGATGTCCCTGCTAATGGCTGACTGAGGCAGGAAAAAACACACACGCAGGCCATTAAATCATCTCGCATCTGAGGCCATCTGCCAATTAGAGGGGGGAGATGTGGAACATCTTGAGAGCACGCGGGAGCAGCGGTGCACTGCAGTAGCCTCGCCTACTCACAAGCGCCGTCCCTTGCTCCTGCCACCTCCTCCCATCAGGTGTTTGGTCTCACTGGTTAGACAGGCCGCATCACCATAATTGGGCACCCCATGCTAGCATGATCAAAACAACAGCGCTGCTTTCATTCACTCCCACTCCTTCCCCAAGTCACACAGTGTTTCTACTAATGCCTATAACTTCGCAGGACACTGGAGCAAAAAGTGTGGGAAGGAATAGAAGGGAATTGAGTTGAGTGAGAAAATGTGCCACACATTGCTTTGCTAAATTGCCATTCCCTCGTGTGCTCAGCAAGATTACAGTTTTCTTTTGCTGTTTGTGGCTGATCCTCAGTGAGTTACAACTCTGCGTGTTTCATGCCAAACATTATGACCCCGATTTGAACCTGAAATAGTGTCCGTCAGGCCCCTGGACCACATGAAGAAAAAACAACCCAGTCCCCGGCGCACCATATCTGGTGCTACAAAATAAATGATCATCTTGAGAAATATCTTCCCTGAGAGTTTGTAGTGTAGAGGCCTGGTTATCAATGTTGAGTCAAGGTGCAGTCTACATAACAGGCTCATTAACCACCAGGTCGGTCTGTGTGGGTGTGTGCAGACCTAGCTCTAGCTGGAGATGGTTCCCCGGGGGGCAGAGGAGAACCCTGAAACCCTACAGGGGAAAGTTTGTTGATATTAAGTTGCAGTAAAGGGAATTGTTACTAAGAAATGAAGAAAACAGAAAGAGAGTGATGGAGAAAGTGATGGATAAGGATAAATCCAAAAAATGGATGGAAGGATGCAAAGTGTGAAGAGAACTACTGTGGGGGAGAGGTGAGTGCAATGGAGAGATTGTGGCGGAATGGAAGGAGAACACGCTAGAAAGGTGGAAAGTGGAGCAGTCTGTCAGGAAAAGAAAGCGAGGGAAAGATTGATTGAGTTGGCCAAAAGTCAGGAAGGGTGAAAGAGACCGTGGGTTTTACTGGATATGGAAGTTAGGTTATTTGGCCGAATGTGTTGTAGCTGTTGTTTTCTGAGGCGATGATACCCTCAGGAGTTGATCCGTGCTAATGTGGACACAGGCTGGGTCATTCATGTGGACCAATGCTCAGAGACAATAGCACCCGCCATTCACCTGCCCCTCTGCCCTTTGCAACACGGCGCAGGCGGCATACAGGAGACGAGTCGATTTGATTCCTGATTACATGCACGTCCGTCTGCATGCAGCTCTGTCTCTCGACTGCCTCTGTAACTTGGCATACAAATGCATCTTACTCGCTGGCATTCAATTTCTTCACATTCTTTGTACCACACAAATGTCTCAAACAGCGTTAAATAGTGTGTAGTTTTTTCCCTGGTTGCAGTTGTGTTAAATGAGAATGTGTGAATAACACTGATTAAAAAGTGCAAATTGACCTTTTAGACATTTTTGAATTAAACATGTCTCTCCACCTCTAATGAAGTATTCCTTCTCATATCCTCTCTCCTCCCAACTATTCAAAATGTTTGTATACATTTGACTGCTTTATATTCTTTATCTCTCTTAGGCATCCAGAAGATTAGTTTGGATGAACAGTGCTTTTAAAGGGATAGTTAACATTATCACCTGGCTTCATTACACTGTAGACCTGTATTGGTGTCTGCTAAGTGGACATTTTTAGCTCAGTGGAATCTGCTCTGAGTCACATAAATGGATGGAGAAACACTGAAAGGATGTCTAATGGTTCTTATGGATCCAAGAGTGGCTGTGCGGATCAATAAATTTATATGGAATGGGAAAGTGAATGGACCCTGGCCAAACAAAAACACAACAAGGTTGCTTTCTGAGCAGCAATCAATCTGAGTGATCAATGTCCAAATGCATTTTTGATTGGATTTCACGGTGTCAGTAAATTGCCATGAAGTATTTAGAGCTGAGCTCAGGAAACTCAGATCAAGTATTGCCTTGGAACAGCATGCTTGAGAATTGATTATTACAGGCCTGTCAGTCACTGCTCCGGGTTCATACGCCATGGAGGCCTGAACTATGTCTACACTAAACATGGTCTTGCAGCAGAGGCCACTTTAGAGAAGACAAAGGTTAAAAAAAACAGATGAAAGATACGTTTGTGAGACTTAAACAAACTGTAAGTTATTCCTCTACAAGAAAAAAATAAATGTTTTCATTAGAGAATGCATTTACATTCAGCCTGCTTCACAGATTCACAGGTTAGGTGAGAACAACAGTATACAGTATATTTTTTGCCAAATATCTCACTCCTCATCTGCTTAACACTTTAAAGCAAGTTAAAAAAAGATGATTTGTTATTTGATGTTCATTGTTAAGATTTCTCCACACTTACAA